CTCTAAAGCTTGACTCCACCATATCATTAATGTCAACTCTACTTTGAAGAGGCAGCCCTTCCCTAGTGGTATTTTGACTGCCTTCCAACCTGAGGGGCTCATCTTCCGGCACTATATTAGACAATGTTCCGTGTTATTGAGAAGGTTTTCACTGGCCACTTTTTTCAGATGTAGACCACCAGGTCCTTCTTCCTAGTCAGTCTTAGGAAGCTCTGCTAAAAGCTGTCCACCATGGGTGACACTGCTGGTATTTAAAATACAGGTGGCGTACCTTCTAGCATCACAGCAACACGCAAGCCAACGACAGTATGTCAAACTGATAGATGCATGGCGTTAGCTATCCTAGTGGGAGTGAAACGGTATCTCATTGCTGTTTTGATTTGCATCTCTGTAATGTCTCAGCGGAGCATCTTTTCATGTGTTTGGTGGCCATCTGAATGTCCTCTTTGGTGAAACGTCTATGCAAGTTCTTTGCCCATTTTATGACTGGATTATTTGTCTTTTTGTTGTTGTCAAAGTTTTATTGCATATATTTTGGTTATTAGATTCTTGTAGGATATATGGTTTCCAAAGGTATTCTCCCTGTCAGCAGCTTGTCTTTTCAGTTTTTTTCGTAAAGTCTCGTGATGAACAACAGCTTTTAATATTTATGAGGTCTCATTCATTTATTTTGTCTTTTGCTGTTTGTGCTTTTATTATATTAGATAAGCCATTGTTGAAAGCTAGGCCTGACAGTGTTACCCCTGCTTCTTGTTCTAAGAATTTTACGGTTTTAGTTTGTACTTTTAGGTCCTTAGGGATTGGCTCTTTTTAACCTTAGTGTGATGGCAAAACTGGCAAATCCTCTTGGTGGGCCACAGGCATCTTATTTGCATATCCCAGGCAAACCAGCAACAGTTTTTTATATATATTATTTGCATAGTCCCACCCCTCTGCAAGGGTTCTGTGCACCTTTTTTATATAGTCCCAGCCAGTCATTTAATGGGAGTTACAAGACCATGGCTAGAAAAGCCATATAAAAGCAATTCACTGCACAGCAGCTACTGTTTAGAAATAATACAATTATGTGATTTCTAAAGTATTATGAAAACTTAAATTGCAGAATCATCTTTTACAAAACTTTTCTTGAGGAGAACAAAACAACAGACCTAGACAGAGAATCCTATAATTCCCACATAAAATTTGTTTTATAATACTGTAAGTTATTTCAACTGGAAAGTTTATGTGCCCAATGTTTTGCTGCTTCCTGCAAGAAAGTCTGATTACTGTGTGTCTGAACCTTTAAGGAGCTTATAGTCTAAAATAAAGACTACAGATGTGAAGAACTTCTTTTAGCATTTCTTGTAGTGTGGGTCTTCAGACAAGTATGAAAGTGTAAGCATCCAAGAACCACACGATTTAAGTCAATAAAATATATTTCACATAAATATCGCTTGTTGGTCAGTCTAAGTGCTGGCTGGTCAAAAGCTCTGGTTCTCAGGTCAGACAGACCTGGATCTGAACGCTGACTTCATCACTAACTAGATGTTTAATCTTGGAAAAGTACTTAACCTGTGTGTGCCTCTCTTTCTTTCTCTGTAAAAATAAAAAATGCCAGTCTCATAGGACTATTATGAGAATAAAATGAGATAAAGTATACAAAAAGGGCTTATCATCATATCTGGCACACAATGAGTCCTCAGAAATATTAGCTACCACATCGCACCATTATTATTATTGAAGAGGTCCTGCAAGAGAGAATTCTTGTATTGTGGTGTGTGTAGGGGTGTGTGTGTGAGTGTGTATGTGCATGCGTGTGTATGTGAAAGAGAGAGAGAAATGGATCAATACAGAGAGCTTATTATAATGAGCAGAAGGGCTTTCAACATCTTCCAAATACTGAAAATTACTAAAACCTGTTTGGGAAGCCCTAACAGCCTAATAGCAAGAAAAGGGCCATTAGATGACATCAAAACAGAAAAAACAGGTCCACTGTTTCAAGTGTGGTAATCTGTCCTCATCCAATCACCCTAGGGGTAGGTGGTGCCCTGAGAAAGTAACTGTTGAATTGAATGAGTTGTAATGATAGGAGCCCACGCCAATTCTGAAATACAGTGCTCTTGGTTTATCGAGACTGAGTCTTTTGCTTATTTGTTTTAGGGGATAACACACTGTATCATCCTGTTATCCTTCCTCTTTTAAGTAACTTTCTAAGGTCACACGCTAGTAAGCAGTAGTGCCAGGATTCAAACCCATTATGTGTCAGACTCCAAAACTCAAACACTAACCAACACCATACACTGCTCTTCTTCGCAAACCCTTGCCAGAATGATTTGTTTAAATTAGTTTTACTTATGCATGGTATTGGAACTCAGATGGTACACTAACCTGCAGGAAGTGAGCTTATGGAAACTGTTTTAAAACAATCAGAGTAATTAATAGAAAGCAGAATGAACAAAATACTGGATCCTTAAACACTCAGGAACTAAAAAGTAGTATAGCCTCAGGCAAGTTACTTAATTTTAACCTAAACCTCAGGTTCTTCATCTGTAAAACAATACTTCTCCCTCACTTCTCAGGACAGTAGGGAGAAAATGAAGAACATAAAGCACTTCGTACAATAATTAATACTTGGTAATTCTCAATATGTGATAGCTCCTATTATCATTATTATCATAATGCCTAACAACTTGATATTAATTTTGAATATCTATATAATTCATGTTTATATACAAAAATTACTAAATTTAGGTTCCACATTCAATACTTCTTAATGATACTGGAGAATGAATCAGCATCAGGAAACTTATCCTCACTATCTGTTTCTGGACTATGGAAAACAAAATTGCCGTTTATGTTTGCTAATAGCTTTTGAAATTTTGTCCTTCCTAAGTGGTAGCCTAATAAATCACAACAATTTATTTTTTGAGTTCATATTTTATTTAAAGTTGCACTGATATGCTACTTAGCTGACACATGCACGTTAAAATACCAATAATTAAAAACAATTTCTCCTTCATTATCTATGAATAAAATATTGTTAGAAATCAGAAAGGAGGTGTTTATACAATGTATCTGGAACTCTACAGCTGATTGTTCTAAGAACTTAAATTCGTCAACGAGCTATTATCTTAGACCTGCTCAGTTTAAGTCACACCGCTCTGAAAGAACCAACTGCCGACAAGTAGATTCTGACTCGTGGCAACACCATGTGTGTCAGAGTAGAAATGCACTCCATAGGATTTTTAATGGCTGTGATCTGTCAGAAGTAGGTTGCCAGGCCTTTCTTCTGAGGCACCTGAGTGGACTCAAACTTTCACCCTTTCGGTTAGCAGCTTAGCACTTAACCATTAGTGCTTTCCTGCTCTAAAAGAGACTCAAAAATTGTACCTAGCTGTTTTTCAAAGACGCAAACAAATTAATAATATGGAAGAACTATACACCTGAAGCTTCTTTCACGTGAGGAGAAAATACTGATAAAATGGGAACTCTGCCGAGAAATTCTAGTTGGACTTTACTGAGAAAGATAGGAAAATAAACTATGCTTAATTAAACAGAAGGAACTAGTCATATAATCTAAATCAACTGATTAACCCTTTAAATGTAATTTCAGTTAAAACAGAGAAATTAGGTTTACTGAATAACATCTTTAGTGAGAGGGCTGACCTTGATTAAAATACACAAAATAGGTCACTTTCTTCATATGCACATTTAGCAGCTCTCACTAAATGTAGAACTCTTCATCCAGAAACAACAGGATATAAGTTACTGAATTTAGATTAGACTCAAAACCCTTTCTTTAGGCACTCTGGTAAGCATTTTACATATATTATCTCACTGATATCTTAGTACAACTTTAGGCAAAAATATCATCACAATTTACATGTGAAAAAACACACTAAGAAGAGGTTAACTGCCATGACTAGCATCATACATGTGATACATAGCAGGGTCTACAGTATTTGAACCCATGTCTAACTCCAAAGCTCATTTCTCTTTGAAATGATAGAAAAATGTTTTATATTTTTTTCATTTTTAGACAGTTTTCCGAAGTAATAATGCCAACAAAACTAAGACAAAATGTTTTAAACCAATATAGCAGTAAAGCTAAAAAGACAGAGGGGGAGAAAAAAGGCATCATAGCCAGTTTTCTTTAGTCTGGGAAAAATTCATAATCAATCAATCAAGAAATAAAAATGAACATGTGATCGACAGCAAGAATACTCTTGCAGCATAACCCAGGCCAGACTGGTTTTTCTTGTTTTGTGTATATGTGTGTTGCACCTGTTGAATAATCAGAATAGGTGTCTCAACTACAACTCTGTGAATCCCAGGCAAGTACAGACAAGTATATGAACAAGTACAACATTCTCTTAAGTTACAGTCTAGAATATCATGGGGAATTTAGAACTTTCCCTATTCTTTTTTTATTATGACATTGAATTAGCAGATTAGATTGTATATTTCTTTAGTCTACTTACCACTTACATACAGAAGTCAATGACTAGATTTAAACTACAAAAATGTAGCATACATATTAATATAAGAAAGACTTTCTGCAGGTTTGTTATTAAACAGCTTCTTATTTACAAAGATTAAATGACTTACAAATGTTTACACTAACAATTTATCCAAATGGTCACAGATGACTATAAAAATCTACATTGAAGCCTTTAAATATTAGGGTTTTTTATAATCCAGTATAATTTCAAAAATTCTTTTATCTAGGATCATAAAAAAGTAAATCCTCAATATGAAAATCAAAATTTGTTTTATAAAAAAGGGGCTTATTGTTGATTTAATTAACATATAAATTTATTATAGCAAATTCCTTTAGCAGAACTCATGTATCAGAAATCAAACTATTAAAAAAATTTACATCTGTCCTGCTTTAATATTTACCTCAAATAATGTTCAACTTTTCAGTAACTTATGTTACATCTCAAGATTTTTTTTTAAAAGAAATCATCACTGGTCTCTTTCCTAGTCCTCCATGGAGAGATAAACATTGGAAACTCTACCTTGTGCTGTTCGATGGCATCTATCCACTGTTGTCTGTGATCTGGATCCTGAGCACGAAGATACCAAACACTATCATTTACACTAATATCAAATCGACATTCGTCAAAATCATGAGGCTGTGGAGAAAAAAAAGAAAATTAAAAGCCAAGTTAATTATTTTCTAAGAAGCGTTATACCCTGAGGCAAAAACATGGACATAACCATTCTGTGCTTGCAGGAAATTCTTATTATTCTTTTATTTTTCTATTCAAACAACTTTTCTAAAGATGTCTCAGATAAGAGAGAATAAGCACAGTCATCAAAAATCAAGTTTCACTCACTACTCTTACAAATGAGTTGACAGATAACCTATAAATATTCATCGCAAAAAACAGAGATAATATTTTTCATCAATGCTCTGAGTTAGCATAACTAATGGGAATATCATCGAAAGCACAATTAAAACAAAAAAGTTTTACGAAAGACATTCACTATTTTTCCCTGACCTCATTATTCAAAAGAAAATTCCATCATATTTCATCACACAATAAAGTTAACATATTTCCCTAAGTATCTAAAAATAACTTCTTGGCTGTTATACATCATTGATAGTAATAGATTCCAATGAAAAGCGAAACATAAAATGAATAGTATATAAGACCTATGTTAGAAAGCTAGAGAAAACCCCTGCATCAAAGTGTAAGCATTTAATCAAAATGTTAACTTTTTGGTTCAGTGTTTTATACACTTCATAAGAATATAAAAAAATGAATGTTTTATATCCTTGTTTTTCCCCCCAATAAAAACTTTTCCTAATTACAAAATATTTTAAAACAACAAATTAACAGCAAATACAAATCCAACAAAGACATTATGAATTCAAATATGTGATAATCAGCCGACCTCAAGGGAGAGGAGCTGGAGTCTGCATTACCTAACGCTAGACACTGAAGTTCCAGGGGCTTCCTGGTTTCTAAAACACATTTATGCATGTTGGAAGGTAGTGTGTCTCTTTTTGAGACATGGAAGCTCTGTGCTGGGAACCTTCCTAGATCTCACACTATGTGTCTCTTCATTTGCATCCTTTTTCCTACAAGAAAGCTGTAATCATAAGTATAGCACCTTCCATGAGCTCTGTGAGTCATTCCAGCAAATGATCAAAGCAAAAGGAGTAGTGGAAGCCAGCAGGTCAGAACTCAGGGGGTGGGGACTCTGGAGCTTACAGTTGGTATCTTGAGAGGGTAGAGGGAACTCCTGAATTTGTAACCAGCAGGTCAGAAGTTAGGGAGCCCAAGGGGGAAAACTCCTGAGTTTACGGCTAAGGTCTGCCTACGTGGCAGTTTGAAGGATGGTGTTCTTTTAACTTGTGACATCTGACACAGCACTGGTGGATAAGATCAAAGGAAGAAGTGTTGCACTGGCAGCTGGGCTATGATATCCTTTTTAACCTGTGAGATCTGACCCAGTTCTGGGAAGCTAGGGTCAGAGAAGTGCTGCGTGTTGTAGCTGGTATCAGGGAAGTAAGTGGAAAAGTGGGGATCTGATTTTTTGGTGATTATTATCCTTGTAACATCCTTAACTCTACACCTTCTTCTTAGGGTTAATATTATACTACCTCAGATAAAACGGAATCCTTGCAACTGTATAAGTCCATTTATCTTATTATCAAATTTGTCACATATCGTGTTAAACTGTGTCACATGTATTATTATCTCCAAACATCATAAACCTTACAACGTTATAATTTTTGTTTTAAATACTCATATGTATTTTAAAGGAATTAAGAGATAATAAAAATATATATCATATATTTGCTTTTTCTGGTGTTGTTCATTTAGCTCTTGAACATAAAAAGTTTCCCGCTTGTGTCATAGCCCTTCAGCCTGAAACACTTCCCTTTAGCATTTTTTGTAGTGTGGGTCTTCTGACAAGTTCTCTTAGTTTTCCTTTATTTGAAATATATTTCACTTTTTTACCCTTAAATTATATTTATTTCGTTGTTGTTGAGTATTATATTTCATTCTTGAAAGATATTTTCATTGACTATATAATTCTGGATTGATAAGACTTTTCCCCTTTTCATCACATTATAAGATGTTGTTCCACTGTCATCTAGCTTCTATGGTGTCAGATGAGAAGTGGGTGGTAATCTGAATCACTATACCCTAATATATCATCTTTCTCTGGCCACTTACAAAATTTTTAATTTGTCTTTGGTTTTTAGCAGTTTGTCTATGATGTACTTAGGTATGGTTTTCTTCCAATTTATCATGTCTGGAGTTTTCTGAGCTTCCTGAATATATAAATTTGTCTTTCACCAAATTCTAAAGTTTTTGACTGTTATTTCTTCAAATTTTTCTTTGCTCACTTTTCCCTCTCCTCTCCTTCTGGAACTCCTAAAATGTACATATTCTGAAACTATATTACAGTGCTTAGAGGCTCTGGTCATTAAAAAACCAACACAAAAATGGTGCTGGCAAAACTGGATGTTCAACTGCAAAAAAATGAAACAAGACCCATACCTCAACACCATACACAAGAACTAATTCAAAATGGATCAAAGACCTAAATATAAAGCCAGAAACTATAAAGATCATAGAAGAAAAAATAGGATCAACACTAGAGGCCCTAATACACAGCATTAACAGGATACAAACCATAACTAGCAACACATAAACTCCAGAAGACAAGCTAGCTAACTGGGATCGTCTAAAAATTAAACACTTATGCGCATCAGAAGACCTCACCAAAAGAGTAAACAGAGAACCTACAGACTGGAAAAAAAATTTTGGCTATGACAAATCCAACAAAGATCTAATCTTTAAAATCTACAGGAAAATCTAACACCTCAACAACAAGAACCAAATAATCCAGTTAAAAAATGGGCAAAGCGTATGAACAGACTTTTCACCAAAGACATCCAAGTAGCTAACACCCATGATGAAATGCTTGCGATCACTAGCAATTAGAGAAATGTAAATCAAAGCCACAATGAAGATAACATCTCACCCCAGCATTTGGCAATGATATAAAAAAAAAGAAACTGGTACTCTTATGCACTGCTGTTGGGAATGCAAAATGGTACAACCATTTTGGAAAACAATATGGGACTTCCTTAAAAAGCTAGAAATAGAAATAACAAATGGTCCAGCAATCCCACTCCTAGGACTACATCCTAGAGAAATAAGAGCCATCATACAATAGACATATGCACACCCATGTTCACTGCAGCGTTGTTCACAACAGCAGAAAGATGGAAACAACCTAGATGCCCATCAAGAGATAAATGGATAAACAAACTATGGTAAATACACACAATGGAATACTACACAACAATAAAGAACAATGATGCATCTACGAAGCATCTCACAACATGGATGAATCTGGAGGGCATTATGCTAAGTGAAAATAAGTCAATCACGAAGGACAAATATTGTATGATACCACTACTATAAAAACTCACGACAAGGTTTACACACAAAAAGAAACAATCTTTGATGGTTACCAGGGAGGGAAGAGGTGGGGATGGAAAAACACTAAATAGGCAACAGGTAAGTGGTAACTTTGGAGAAGGGTAAGACAGTACACAGTACTGAGGAAGCCAGCACAACCTGTCCAAGGCAAGGTCATGGAAGCTCCATAGACACATCCAAACTCCCTGAGGGACAAAATTACAGGACTGAGGGCTGTGGGGACCATGGTGTCAGGGAACATTTAGCTTAACTGGCATAACATAGTCTATAAAGAAACTGTTCTACATTCTATTTTGGTGAGTAGCGTCTAGGGTCTTAAAACCTTCTGAGTGGCCATCTAAGATACTCCACTGGTCTCACCCTGTTTGGAGCAAGTGAGAATGAAGAAAACTAAAAATACAAGGGAAGATTACCACAAATGACTAACGGACCACAAGTACTGCAGCCTCCATCAGACTGAGTCCAGCACAACTAGATGGTGCCTGGCTACTACCACCAACTGCTCTGATAGGGATCACAATAGAGGGCCCTGGACAGAGCCGGAGAAAAATGTAGAACAAAATTCTAATTCACACAAAAAAAGACCAGACTTACTGGTCTGACAGAGACTGGGGAAACCTCACGAGTATGGCCCCCGGACACCCTTTTAGCTCAGTAATGAAGTCACTCCTGAGGTTCACCCCTCAGCCACAGATTAGATAGGCCCATAACACAAAACGAGATAAAAGGGGCATACCAGCCCAGGGGCAAGTACTAGAAGGCAGGAGGGGACAAGAAAGCTGATATAGGGAACCCAAAGTCGAGAAGGGGAAAGTGTTGACATGCCTTGGGGTTGGCCACCAGTGTCACAAAACAATATGTGTACTAACAGTTTAATGAGAAGCTAGTTTGTTCTGTAAACCTTCATCGAAAGTACAATTTACAAAAAAAAGAAAACTACTTTCTTCTCTCTGTTAAGAATGATTTTTATTGATCTATCTTTAAAATCTTGGTTATTTTCTCTGTCATCTCCATCTGCTATTAATGTCATGCAGTGATTTTTTTTAATTTCAGGTATCATTCTTTTCTATTCTAAAATTCCCATTCTGTCTCTTTAATATTTTCTTTTTCTCTGCTGAAATTGCCTATCTTTTCATTCATTACAAGCATATTTTCTTTTACCTCATCAGGCATAGTTATAATAAAAAACTAAACTTGCTACCGTCGAGTCAACTCCAATTCATGGTGACCCCACCATGTGTAACAGAGAATTGCTCCATAGCTGCTTTAAAATCTTTGTCAGACAATTCCAACATCTGGCTCATCTTATAGTGTGGTTTTTATTTTTATTTTTTCCCTCCCCTTAAGAATATGTCATAATTTCCTGGCTCTTAACATACTGGGTAATTCTGGATTGTATCCAGGACATTATGAATGTTAGGTTGAGAGCTATGAATTCTGTTACATTTGCTCTGAAAAATACTGGCTTTGCTTTAGCAGGCTTAGACTCAAATTGTAAATTCTGTCATGTGTTTAATCAGTAGTAGTTAGGGTATCTGCTTCAGTCTGGCCTGCACACATAGGGTTGAGGGGTCAGGCAAAGATTTGTACAGAGGTTTATACTCAGAATTTGGGGCTCCCATTACCTGGCTCTCTCTTTTTCTGGATTACCTCTTCATTCTTTG